AACCATAAAAATATTTTTAATATTGCAAAAAAATTTATTTGTTTTGTCCTTTATTATTAAAATTTTGCTTGCCCCTGAGTAGAAATTTGCCAATTTTTTTTATTGAAAATCGCATATACTTAATACCCAGGTAGCACACTGACGTTTGCTGACGTTTATATGACGTCTTCTGACGTTTAAATGACGTTAGCAACGTCATTTCAACGTCATATAAACGTCAGCAGACGTCAGTGTGCTACCTGGGTAATAAAAGTACTATTTTAGAGAACCTTATTTGTAGATATTGTGTTTCCCTGGTATTATTTAATGTTAATATAGCTTAACTACATTAGGTTTAAATGTCTACTTTTAACAAAAATATGTATATGTAAATAGGAAACACAATCTAAATGAATAAATTTAAAAATATATAGGTTCCTTTAAATAAAAATACATTTTCTGTTGAACACGAAAACATCCGATATTCAATTTAGCAGTAAAAGAAAACAAAGAGCAAAAATAAAAACATAAGAAAGAATTGTTTTGAGTGCATTTTCGTGCTCGGACCCGCGAGTTCCCGGAATTGACTTGGAGGTTTGATGGCTTTACAAAAAGGCCATAATTTATAGTCCGGATTACTAAATGCAAATTACATTATAACAGATAACACTATCGTTTGATAATATTTCGCATTTTTTTCACATACGCGGTTTTATATTTTTGCTGTTAGCCGTTAAATGATCTGATTAATTAAGGCTTTCTTGTTTGTGAATGTTATGCATGCAGCACTTATTATAATTAATGCAATGTTTTAATAATATTCATGAAAGTTTTAAAAAATATGTAAAATTAAAAATTGTGGTCTGCGGCCTTGTTAACAAAAAAATTGTTTTAAAGATAGCAGTTTTCTGAAAAGATAAGCGTGTAATGATACACTACAAAAATACCATTGAAATATATAAAAAAAGTTTTTTGTACAATTTTTTAAAAATCTGATTTTTTTAATACTTTGATGCTCGGTAGGGGGCAAAAGGTTTATCACCATATAAAAATTGCAAATAAAAATTATCTTTGCATTATCAATCTCCTAATCAAAATTTCAAAATGTTCATTTTCATTTTTTTTTTCAAATTTTTGATCCCTGGTAGAGGGCAAAAGACGTCACAAAAACAAAAAACTGTAAATAGAAATTATTTTTGTTAGGCCAAAAGGCAACTTTTTGACCCTATTCCAAATCCAATTTCTAGTTTTTCGGCCCATATAATAATATAATAAAACTATATGTGACATATCGTTTTAAAGGTATTTTCATTCTTAATAAGATTGTGCAATTTTTTCAAAAATCTGTTGGTAGTTTTCGAGAAATTTCTATTTAAATTAGGTAAATTAAGAAAAAAATGTATATGTTTAATGGAGAAGTAATTGTCGCTATTGGAGCGATAACAATCCACATTTGGTCCTTAAAACCCACACTAAAGTTCCCCAAAAGTTTTGGCCTCAATTTTTGGACCATTTTTCATTGATGGCAACTTCAATGAAGACATTTATCTAGAAATGTTAAATAATTAATAATAATAATAATAATAATTAAAATTTTAAATTTCCATTTCAAAAGAAATATTTTTTTTATTTTTATTTGATCGACTACAAAAAACATTTTGAAAGAAAACTATTTCTAGTTCAAATATGTAGGCCATACATTGTATAGCCATAAGATATTTGTATATATTTATATCATGTTAATGGGATACTTTGTATACAAACTATAGTTTGAATAAAACGCTATGGCTAGGGCACCTTTAATTCACAATTTGAAGTATCCAATGCTTATTAGCATTATATTGGACAATAATTTAAATACCTATAGCATTTTGAAACATAGCTTATATAATAGGCAAATTATCCATTATTGTATAGTATGTTATTAGATGTAGATTGGTCGTTTTTATAGCGAATTAACGATGTAAATATTATGTGTGATCAGTTTAATAAGTTTATTTATGATTGATGATGTGTACCCAGTATGAGTATTAAACCTATTTAAAAAAAATGAAACGTTTAGGTGACGTGTATATTGATTGATTGACATAAAAACACAAGAAAATTAGAAAAAACAAATTGCAATCTCATATAAATAAACATAGAAATAATATCTAAACAAACATAAAAAATGAACCAAAATCATTTTGGTCATATCAGAAAAAGGATTTTCTCGCATTCCAGGAAAGGTAAGCTAAGATAATAAGGAATTTCAACCCCTAATGATATAGAATATAGAATGTAGAATATAGAATATAGAATATAGAATATAGAATATAGAATATAGAATATAGAATATAGAATATAGAATATAGAATATAGAATATAGAATATAGAATATAGAATATAGAATATAGAATATAGAATATAGAATATAGAATATAGAATATAGAATATAGAATATAGAATATAGAATATAGAATATAGAATATAGAATATAGAATATAGAATATAGAATATAGAATATAGAATATAGAATATAGAATATAGAATATAGAATATAGAATATAGAATATAGAATATAGAATATAGAATATAGAATATAGAATATAGAATATAGAATATAGAATATAGAATAAATACATTTGGCTAAAATAAATGCAGCTTTGTTTGTGAATAATGTTACATTGAACTGTTTTGGTGTATTTTTTTCACCTCTTCCAGTAATTTTTGACAAAATTATAAAATGTTGGAAGTTACCGGATACATGGAAGGTTTCAAAAATCGTGCTGGTTTAAAAAAAATGTGATTCCTGTCACAACAAATTATCGTCCAATCTCTATTCTGTGTAACATTGTTAAAATATTTGAAATGATTATATATTTAAAACTGTATGGCCAACTAAAAAATTTAATCTCTCCATTTCAACATGGGTTTGTTGAAATAAAGTCCACAGTAACTAATTTAGCCTGATGTTATACTGACTACCAAAAAGCGTTTGATCAAATTGATCACTATATTTTTTCTAAAACATTTTTTCATATTTGTAATAGATGTAATGAAAAAAAAAAACAATTTTATTCGATTTTTCTTCTGTATTTTGCAATAATTTTTCTATAAAAATATCACTTTTTTTGGTAATAATTTTCTTATTAAATTAAATCTGATTTTTTTAAGTATCCCATATTATAAATATAGTCGTTAGAGGCTTTCTTGTTTTAGTCTTATTTTATTTTATTTTATTAATTTACCCATCACAATTTCTTTACTTCATTTACAAAATGTGAAAATTTACGTTGCATTGCCAAAAGGGTAAAAATTACCTTAAAAATATTGTTTTATTATTGATAAAACATGTCTTATGAACATAGCTATATGCAACCCAACAATCACTTTCTTTTTACTCAGTTGCCTAACCAATGCAACTAAATTAACGCATTTTAGTACTGGGTTTTGTCGTGAGGTTTATAAGGTTTGTTTTAAACTTATTGTTTATTGTTAATGCTTTTTAAATTAAGGAATCCCTTATTTATATACCTTTTATCCAACTTGCTTACTTTAGAATTGGCCAACAATAATTATATAATATAATAAAATAATGAAGAGCAGTTTTCAATACATTATAAAAAAATATTATTCGATTTTTTAACGATCCTAAAGTAAAAATCCGAGAAAATCTTTTCATCTTTTCATAAGGGTGAAAAATCGCATATTTTGACATGACAGACATTTGGTTTGGACTACTGTGGCTGTTTTGTGATTGTAAACGAAAATAATATTTTCGTTATGTTAATGGGTGAATATATTGAGATGATCCCCAAGTGAAAATGATTTTTATTTTTAGAAATCATACATTTTGAATATTAGAGCTTCATGGAGGTTAGGATTTTGAAATAAGTTATTGTATCTTTTGTACATACATTAAATATTTAAAAAAAAATCTACTTACTGAGATATTACACTTCACAGTGGATAGGTTTTTAAATAGCAAATTATTGAACTAAAACTTTTGAATTATAAAACAGCAACACTCTCATCTGCATTATGCAGGAATCACATGCATCTATAATGTCGTAAACAGAGGTTTTTGCTTATTTAAAATGATTACAGCGCCATCCGTTGCAAAAAATTTAAAGCAAAAACAGATTCACGGAGGATAGAATCCATGTTTGTAACACCTACTTAAATGGGTATAAAAATTAGTTCTTTTAATTTTTAATAATATTTTATATTTGATTCGATTGCTTTGGATGTGTTTAATTTACTTAGTGAACTGATATTTTAGTATGCTTTTACTACCTCAGATATTTGAAAACATATAGGTTAAGCTAGATAGAGTAACAGTCACGGAGGATAGGTTTAAGACTTTTAAAACATTGTAAAAAATAATTAAAGCTGAGCTTTAATATCTACTTAATTATGAAAGATCTAAACACAATAAATGTGAAGGTCAAACTTAAGATTCACCCAAATATACGAGTTTCAGCAAATTTGAGGTTCAGTTTTAAAGAATACCTACGTATATTCAACGCCATGGTTTACATTTGGATAATGTTATTTGTATTAAATGGTTTTATTAAATATAATTTAAAAAATCGATAAGATATATCATATTTTTGATATAATTTTTCCAAAACCGATAAAGAGTCAAAATGAAGACCAAAATTTATTGATATCCCTTTAATCTTAAATATTATATATCTCTGCAGCCCAAATGTGATAAATTTTGAGATACATACATACATACCTACATAATCTATGGTTTCAATAAAACTACTACATGTCACATATTCTTTAAACAATTGAAGGTTAATGAACAAAAGATTGTTGTATTATCATCAAATTTATTTAAAAAGTATACTCAAAATGTCTTCATTAAATGATTGTATTCTATGGTATTAATTGTTTTTTGATATAGACCAAAAAATAATTTAGATTTTGGGTTAGGCTATTTAATAACCTACCCCAAATTCTAAATTATTTTGCCTAGGTCATTATCAATCACTTTAGTACCGAGTAATAAGGTTTAAATTATAGACCGGTTAAAGATAAAATATTTATTTCAAATAAATTTATTTAAACTAAGGTATCTACAAAGATATACTTATATTATTATACGTGTAAAAACTATGTATAAATACTAAGGGCCCGTTTCAATAAATATTACAAGAACATTACAAGCGAATATTACAATAAAAAATTAAAAGGAGTACGAGAGAGGAAATTATAGGCGATTGTATTAGTATCAGAAAAAGGATTTTCAAACAATAAAAAATAAAAGAATATTAAACATAACATAGAACAGATGTTGGATATTCATTTAAAAGTTAACTTATAAGTTATTATTTAAATTAATCCTAAAACAGTATCTTATTTTTAACAAAATAAATACAAGGAAAATTCTGAATATTTGTACCTACCTACTAACTTGAAATATTATACAAATTTTGATTTTAACATATTTGAAGTTTTCAAAAATTATTTTAAGCATAAAATAAATCAGAAGATATGTTCATCAAGGGCTCATCAAGCGCCTTGATTCAAGGCATATTAACATATATAATTCTTAAAATATTTTCTTGTAACATTCAGTTGTAATCTATTCTTGTAACATTTCGTGAAACCCACCATAAATTAAAAGAAATAGTTACAATAAATAATATTAAAACCTATTTAACATTTAAAATATAAAACTAGTAAAATAATAAAAGTAGGTATGACTAGACATACAATTTATAAAAACTTAATTATTCAATATTCAAAACAACATTTTAAAGAAAAAAATACGTTTTTTATATTTTTACTTATTGTTATTGACTATTTAGTCAAATAAACTTTAAAGTTTATTCAACGCTATTTATTAAAAAATGGCAAACGAGATCAATAATTATTTTCGAGCTATTTTAGTTTTTGTTAAAATAAAAAACACATAGTCTTGAAAATCAAACTTAAAGTACATTTTTAGTCTTATCACCAATTTCAATTTTAACTTAAAATGTATAATTTAAAAAATGTTTTGCTAACCTAAGAAATTTTTACAAAAATTATCAGGTGCTGACTTTTATTTCGATGTTTTTATTGGTCATTGTCCATCTTCTTCGTCCATTTGATCCTGGTAGTTTTGGTGGTGAGAAGTCGAAGTTATAACAGAAGAGTCCTCTTCATGCGGAGTAACACGTAAATATGACTCGCTAAAAATAAATTATTTATTATAAAAATTATTAAAATAAATTAAATAAGTCATATTAGGGTGAATCTCAGGTTCCAGATTTTTAACCGCAATTAATTATTTTTTACAATGTTTTAAAGTCTAAAACCTATCCTCCGTGACTTTACTCTTTCTAGTTTAACCTATATGTTTTCAAATATCTGAGCTAGTAAAAGCATACTAAAAATATCAGTTCACTAAGTAAATTAAACACATCCAAATCAATCGAATCAAATATAAAATATTATAATATTAAAAATTAAAAGAAATAATTTTTTTAACCATTTATGTAGGTGTTACAAAATTGATTCTATCCTCCGTGAATCTGTTTTTGCTTTAAATTGTATGCAACGGATGGCGCTTTAATCATTTAAATAAGCAAAAACCTCTGTAGATGCATGTGATTCCTGAAGGTCAGTTAGAATTTATATGCAGATGAGAGTGTTGCTGTTTTATAATTCAAAAGTATAAGTTCATTAATTTGCTATTTAAAAACCTATCCACCGTGAAGTGTAATATCTCAGTAAGTAAATGTATGTACAATTGTATTTTTTTAAAATATTAAGGTGTCAAAAGTTACAATAACTTATTTCAAATATTCAAAGGGATGTTTAAAAAAAACATACGAAATCCTAACCTCCGTGAAGCTCTAATATTTAAAATGTATGATTTCTTAAAATTCTTGCATTAGTGCAGAAAAAATATTTAATATTTTACTACAAAAGAAAATATTTAAGAAACTTCTAGCTACACCGTATTTATCGTACAAAAAAATTTAAAATATGTACCTTTGAGTATTTACCCTATTATAATAATTCATTGGATGGGGTAATTCGTATCCATCTTGTATCTCTGTAGGTAAAGGATATGGAGATGTGTAGTGTTGTGCGGGTGTGCCTAAAATAATAATTAGTAATTATAAATAATGTTTAATAGTTTTTCTTAGTTGTGTTTTTAAAAGCTTTGGTATTTAATTAACAATATTTCTAAATTTTGCAAAAAAATAATTCCATTTTGATCAATTAGAATTTGTTTTCAAAACATTGTAAAAAACGTTTTTTTATATTTAAATTGGTATATACAAGGTGTCCCCAAACTTATTGGCATAAATTTAGGAAAAGATTGAGCAAGTCAAAATAAGACGAAAACCTAAATAAATATTTTTCCTAATTACTTATGTTTCCAAGATACAGGGTGTTACTTATCATATCAGTTTTTTTAAATATAACTTCTACCATGGTAGTCTTGGAAAGGTGATATCTTGAGAACAGTCACTTACTACCAAAACACATATTCACACATAATTACAATTGTTTGAGTGAACAGTGTCGTAGAAACGGGGGTTGCTTTAAGCTTATTGACCCATACAAACTTTGAGGTTAGGTTTTTATAACATTTGTTGCAATTTTTCGATTACACAGTTCGGCTGCCATTAAAAAGGTGTACCTCTAAAACTTCGATAAAATAAACCGTTTCCGAGATATTCGAGATTACAATAATTGTTATATCGCATTATTTATAAGGATTTAAAGGTATATGATAACAAATTTAATTTTTTAATTAAAAAAACTAAAAAGGGCATTCTATGAGCCTCGGGACTTTTTGCCCAGACCGTCACATTAAAAAAATTGTTGTTTTTTTAATTAAAAATTTGTTATTATATACCTTTAGCCCTTTAATGCGATATAACCATTATTGTAATCTTGAATATCTCGGAAACGGTTTATTTTATCGAATTTTGGTAGATCTTTTTAATAGTAGCAGAACTGAGTAATCAAAAAATTGCATCAAATGGTATAAAAACCTAACCTCAAAGTTTGTATGGGACAATAAGCTTAAGCAACCCCTGTGTTCACTCGAACAATTGTAATTATGTGTAAATATGTGTTTTGGTAGTAAGTGACTGTTCGAAAAATATCACCTTTCCAAGCCTACCATAGTAGAAGTTATATTAAAAAAACTGATATGATAAGGAACACTTTATCACCCTGTATCTTTTAAACATACGTAATTAGGAAAAATATTTATTTAGATTTTCGTCTTATTTTGACTTGCTTAATCTGCTCCTAAATTTATGCCACCAAGTTTAGGGACACCTTGTATATATTTTTTTAATTAAATACTTTAACCAAGGATTATTTGTCATGTAGCTATTCCTAATTTAACTAAAAAAATTAATTATACACATACATTTAGTAAGTCCCTTAAAAAAAATATTTTTAAAAAATAAAATTGTTTTTTGGCATAAATACATTCGACAATTTTTAAAGTTCCAAGTGCTGTTACCCGAACAATGATTGTCCAATTTTATTGAAATTTACAAATTTGTGTAGCTTTATTTATCTACTGTCAAAATATTTAAGATGAAAATAAATTAGTGGTAACCATTTCCCCTGCTTAGGGCTTGTGTGGGGTTGAAAATATAAAAATAAATTGTTCCCCTAAAATTAAAAATAAAATTTATTAAGTTAAAAAAAACTTTATCCTTAATACTTCAATTACTTAAGCAAATAGTAAGTTGCCATTATTAAGATAAGATAAATCAAATTTTAACAATATAATACTTGGAGAGAGAGCGTGATAAATATTTCCTAGAATTATATCAACGTATATGTAATATTTTTATTTGTAAATGGTACCTAAACTCGTGATAATAATTGAAATTTAAAAAAATAAAAAAATTACATAATTAAATAAACAAGTACCTTTGCATTATTTATTTGCGTCTGACAATGATTTTAAACTTTAAACAATTAAACAATAAGGAGGCTACAAAAGGTAATATTTAGTTAAATATAAGTATTTGTTTTAAAAATAAAAAATATATTTTATCATACCAATACCTACACCCGAATATAATTAGGCTGATTTTGAATCTAATTTCAAATGTTTAAGGAATAATTTTTCCACTTACCCAGCCTAGAAGAATGGTGAACTATAGAAGAGCTCGGCCCAGAGCTGGAGGTATTCTTTGGTCTCCTTTTTCTTGTTTGGATGCCCTCCTTCTTCATACTTAGTGGCCTTACAACCTGAATGAAAAAATTACGATTAAAATGAATGATGTTTTATCTTAACAGATAATTTATCTTTCGTTTACCAGTTTTTTGTTATTATTTACTACTGAAATAGATATAGAAAGATATTAAACATATCTTAGATTAGTTGGTAGACTGTTTGGGTATACATAAAAAATTATCTGCGCACCACCTGCTGATTATGTAAAAATATAAATTTATCATGAAAAATTCTAAACTATCTAATCTACTTCCAAAATAGGAAGTTTATCCTTCTATATCATTAAGGTAGGTCACAAAATATACCTCGTATATTATTAGAAATATTCATTTTTACTTTAATAGTTGAGTGTTAAAAAAATTACGAAATGTTTAAACATTTAAACGTAAGTCGTGTAAATACACCATATTTATTTATTTTAAACAAACACAATTTATTTATATAAAGGTATATGTGGTACAAGTAGTACCACACTTTATTTGTAAAATGCTCGATATATTTTCCTTGTATTTTATAGCCAATCGCTCACATTTAAAAAATTACTAAAAAAATAGACGTACGTTTATAATATACAGGTTTAAACAAAAAGATTATTTTTACCATAAGTTTAAGACACTCTGTAGAGTGGCAAAACCGTATATTGTTCTAAATTAAGTTTTATTTATCAAGTCACATCTATTCTTAACAGTTTTGTTTTTCGTTCACCTCGATATATTTATTTTTGTGGAAAATATGGATTTTTAAAAAAAAACATTGCAATTTCCAAAATTTTTCTGCTTGAAGAACTAAGGTTGCTATGGTCCATCCATAGGCTATGGAGAATGACAGTGACAGTTTTGTTGAATCATACCATACTTGAACATGTCATACACGGCTTTCAAAAGCTATCAAATTGTTTTTTGCAAATTAATGTTTAAATTTTGAGGTGTCTTCTTACTTTAAAAAATGGATATGTCTCCGACTGATGTTGCCAGAGCCAATAATTTAATCCAGGATGGACGGTCACAGTATTACGTGGCAAGTATTTTAAACGTCACAAGAAGTAAAGTACAAACAACCTTAGTTCTTCATACAGGAAAAATATTGGAAATTGCAATGTTTTTTAAAAAAATCCATATTTTCCACAAAAATAAATATATCAAGGTGAACCAAAAAAAACTGTTAAAAATAGATGTGACTTGATAATTAAAACTTAATTTAGAATAATATACGGTTTTGCCACTCTACAGAGTGTCTTAAACTTATGGTAAAAAAAACATATTTTTGTTTAAACCTGTATATTATAAACGTACGTGTATTTTTTAATATTTTTTAAAATTTGAGCGATTCTCCATTAATGAATCTACAATATTCTTTAATATTTGTTTAAATCCGAAATCAAATAAAAAAGTTATTTGCGATTGAAAGTCATTGAATTTGTGTGGATCGATTATTTTGCCTGTGAGTGTACTTATAATACTGAATGCATTTTCTTACCCCGTGAAGTTTGAAGTAAAGTCCACATGCGTTACATACTGGTTCCCCTTGATTATTTCTTCTCCACAACGTTGTATTTGTGGTCTTACAATTCGCACAATTTACTCCACTTCTTCTGTTGCTATTTGGTGATATTAATTCCTAAATTAAAAAAAAAAACAAAAAACCTTCAATAATTATTTATAATTTTAAAGGTAAGATAAAAATACGTAAATAAAATTTAGTTTTCTATTACCTATGAGGTCATACACAAATTGTACTTGAATCTGGAAATGTTATCATCCAAAGTAAACATTTGTTTCGACCCATTTTACTTAAATAATTCTTATTTAAACAATGATAACATTTCACTTATTGTTAATACCCTTTTGGGCTTTATATTCTTGATTTTATTTAACAGGGCAGCCACGAAAAATGAATTTTAATATTTTGGACCTATACTCTCTAAAAATGAATTAGTCAAAAATAACTAATTTAATTAGTTTTCACTTGTACCATGGTTATAACCATGGAATACCATGATATCCAAAAAAGCCAATTCTTATGTAAAACTGTCCCCTGAATCCGAAAATGTCGTCAAAAGTTAAAAGAGTAAATCAGTTTTTGAGATATAGTCAATTTTCCATTTAGTATGGAATATGTTTGGAAAATGCTTAAAAAATGCAAGTCACTAAACTTGTTAGTTTGTCATAGATTTAGGTAATCTATGGTTTTAATAGTTCCAGACAGGGACTTTTTTATTTGCTTTTTTCAAGTCTGACGTAAAATAAATAACCTCTAAGTAAAAGTTACAAATTTGACACAATTTACCAGTTGCCATTTAAAAAAATATGAATCCCCTTTATCTTTTTGTATTTCTGTATGTCTAATATTTATTTATTTTTTCTTAATAAATTGCCTATTTTGTAATTCTATAATTATGTAGTTTGAAAATAGACAAGTTAATATTGTCTGTAATTTTTAATAATATATATGCGTTAATTTTGCGGCAAAATTTAATTTTTATTTTGAAGAAAATTTATCGTTAATTCGCTAGTAAAATATATTATCACAATAGTGATTATAATTACTTTTATGTATACGTAACACTGAAAAAATAAGGAACATTATGTAAAAGACCAAACGTTATTAAATGTTGGTTACAGGACAGTTTTGACTGAAAACCAATAGGTACCTACATGTTTTAAGCACAAAATAGATTGTTATACTTGTGAGAAAAGCTTTCTTCAAGCTCGTGTTAATGCACACTCGGCCTAACGGCCTCGTGGGCAACTTAAAAACTCGCATGAAAAAGTCGCTTTTCAACACTTGTAAAACAAATAACTATTCTGTGACCCTTTTATTTTTTATTATTTTTAAATACAAAACAAAATAACCTAAAAACTTTTTTGACAGCTGAATGTCAAACGATGCTTTCAATTTCTTTTCACACAGACCTGTAACTTTTCACACAGAAATGTCACTTTACATTCGTGTTTTGCCTTGCTAATGAAAAGATTCATTTTCTAAGCAATGATGCCATCATGAAAAGTGACTTTTACATAGTGGTCGTAGAAAAACAAATTTTATTAATTTTTCAAAAAATTATTTGGCAACCAAAAATAAACATTTTTCAATTAAAGTAGGTAGGTGCTTCAAAAATGTTAAAATAAAAGATCCCAATAATTAATTTAATAAGCTGATTAGTTTAATGTATTTATTTATATTTATTTATATTTATTTATTTATATTTATTTATATTTATTTATATTTATTTATATTTATTTATATTTATTTATATTTATTTATATTTATTTATTTATATTTATTTATATTTATTTATATTTATTTATATTTATTTATATTTATTTATATTTATTTATATTTATTTATATTTATTTATATTTATTTATATTTATTTATATTTATTTATATTTATTTATATTTATTTATATTTATTTATATTTATTTATATTTATTTATATTTATTTATATTTATTTATATTTATTTATATTTATTTATATTTATTTATATTTATTTATATTTATTTATATTTATTTATATTTATTTATATTTATTTATATTTATTTATATTTATTTATATTTATTTATATTTATTTATATTTATTTATGTTTATTTATATTTATTTATATTTATTTATGTTTATTTATATTTATTTATGTTTATTTATATTTATTTATATTTATTTATATTTATTTATGTTTATTTATATTTATTTATATTTATTTATATTTATTTATGTTTATTTATGTTTATTTATATTTATTTATATTTATTCTAACCTTTAAAAATATATGACCCAAATAAAAATTTAGACAAAAACTTGGCACCACAAGATTTGAAATAGGTGCTTATGCATAATCTTGACATGTCAAGATTATAATCTAAGCCTTAGATTGTAAGGAGCATTTTTAAATACCTAAAAAATTGTTTAAGTCAGGTTAGAAATGTTAATTTTAGTTTATTTGTGAATCAAAACTAAAAATCAAATCTAAATAAATATAAAAAGTTAAATTTACAACCGTAAAAATAAAAAGCATGTTACTTCTTAACAAAAAAAAATAAAATACAACCAAGGTAATATATATCAAATAAAATATTCCAAAACCAAATTTAAAAATTGTTAAAAAAATTATAAAGCTGCAGCCTATCGATAATGGTTACTTATTTATTTTTCCGTTTTGTCTTTATAAAAATAAATTTTAATGTATGAAAGGAACGTTATTAATTATTAATAGTAAACACTAATTAAGTAAAATTTATTGCAATTATGATTGAAAAATTACGATTTATTTCAAACATTCGTTTTTTTAGTAATCTTGCAAAGTCACTTTCATCAACAGGTACTCGTCGTCGGGAGCTTCGTTCAAACACTTATATACAAATTTTCTTTACAAGCTTGTAAAGAAAATTTGTATATAAGTGTTTGAACGAAGCTCCCGACGACGAGTACCTGTTGATGAAAGTGACTTTGATAATGGCGATTAGCGGTGCTTGCAGATGCGATGAATTGGTTAATTTGAAAATAGAAAATATTGAAGACAAAGTGAAATATTTTCACGTAGTTTTGCCAGACACTAAAACCAAGAAATTGAGAAGTTTCACCATACTTAAAGAAGGATTTCCAGTCAACCCGATCAATTTGTGTAAAAAATAGTTGTCTTTGGGACCAAAGACCACTAGTTCTACTGTTTTTTACAAAAATGGGAGGTGTACCAGCCAGTGTGTGGGAATAAATACGTTGTCGAAGACACCTTCAAGAAGTGCAATGTTTTTGAAATTGGAGGAACCAGAAGGTCTACGGCGACTCTTTTGGCCAATGCAGTAGCTAACATGACTAATTGAAACGTCACGGAGGATGGAAGTCCTCGACGGTAGCAGAAGGATGCCTAGAAGAATCGGTGCACAACAAAATACAAATTGCAGAAAAAATACAAGGTTCTAATGCGTCGGCGTCTTCCAGCACTATCAGCAGCTGTACCGATATGGGAACGTCTGGTTCCAATGAACCAACGAATTTTACAATGACCCTTAGCGTTTTCCTTTATTTGATTCTAAAAACATTAAAAAGACATGGGACCATGAAATTTGTACTTAATAACTTCAGTGACTTTAACAATATATTTTTAGTATTCCGCAATAAAATTTTGAAAAAAGCTAATATCTACTAAAAATTGTGCCAAAAAACTTACCGCCTGTGCCTTTTTCATGGGCTTCACTGGCGGCCTATTCACCCCATTAATCTTGTTATAAAGTCCGCAAGCATTGCACAAGTAATGACCCGTACCGTCTCTGCGCCACAGCGGCGTTACGCCAGACCCACAATTCACGCATTCCTTTACCTGTGGGTTTGACGATGTCCCTGCCCCCTCGTTTAGGCCGCCACTGCTTCCGCCGCCGTTGGCGTAACCGTTGAACTGCGTGCTGTCGGCTTGCGCCAGCATCTGAGCCGGACCGTTGTAAACTGAAGCTGACTGCGACTGAGGAGTCCAGTTCTGAGCGTAGCTGATGTGGTAGTTTTGCTGACCGCTGTATTGCGCGATGTGGCCACCTGGGTTTTGCACTACAGCACCACCTGCATATGGACCCTATATTACAACATAAATGTTATAAAATAAACATGGTGTATACATGGTGTATAAACATGGTGTATACACAGCAAATAGAACTGTATACGATGACTCCCCGTTTGATCAGAACTGTATTGAATCGTGCTTTGCTTTTATATTTTTCGCCTCTATACCTGCACGACTAAATTTAAAGTCAAACTCAATGGTGTCTTACAAGATACATTATTTTGATTTTCTATATTCAACAGAGAGGTAGAAACTCGACCCTGTCGAATGGTGCAGTCATTTATGTCTCTAGAAATTATTGAAAAATGGTTCAGTCCAATGGTGCAGCAACTTCGGATTCCTATTCTCTTCATGAGACATAGAAACTCAAGCTTTTCGAATTTTACTGGTCCACGAGAATTATACAAAAACAGCGCAATCCAATATCGCAACGGTTTCGACTTTTCTTTACTCTACCAAGTTATAGAAACTGGAACTATCTAATACTGTTCTAGTCAATAATTCTGAGAGAATAAAAAGAGGGTGTAATTCAATATTGCAAGAAGTTTTGATCTTTTGATGGATGCAAGTAGTTTGAATTTTCTAATTTCTGCATATGATTTTGTTGAAATTAGTTTCTTTCTTTGGTTCCTTTGTCTGATTTTTATTTACCGTTACAACTCAGGTATGTAAAGCACAGAGGATATGATGTAAAGTATTATATAAAGTACCTATATTTGTATTAAAAATTTTAGAAGTTATATTAAAAAAATGATCGATATGCTATTAAACTTTGATAATTTAGTAATGAGGTCTGTTGGTAGACCCTGCACATCTTCACTGGTAGTTTTATGTTAGTTTAGCAATATTTAAATCTGGTTGATTAAAAAGTACAAACCAGTGCAGGTATTGTAGCATCTACGAATAAATGAATTAAAGGCCCATTGGCAATTATTTCTTTAGGAAAAATATTCAACACAGCTTAATTAATTAATAAAATGAAAAAAAATCACAAGCATGTCGTATATATTTTTTTTTTCAAGCATAAAATAATTTTCATATTAATACTAGTTCAAAAGTCAAATTACGACCTCTATTCTGTGGAGAGTATTGAAACACTCGACTGACGAATACAACTCTATACCGTCATGGCGTCATGACGCGTCATCCAATACACTTCTATATTGTTCCGTTTGCTGTGTACCAAAAAATGTAATGATACAATGAAGGTTGTAGGTCTCGATTTTGAAATTGGTCGTTAAAAATACTTTTTAGTGACCAGGGCTTTGGAGAGAAAATAAACTTATTGTAAAATAATATTCTAAGGGATTAATATCCTAAATTTAAAATTAAAAAATAAAATTTTAATGTTTAAACGTGTCACATAATTTTATGAATTTGTTTTAAGAAAAATTCAAATTGTGTTATTTTGGAAGAAGGCGATTAAGTCACAGCTTTATATTAAAAAAAGAACAATATTTAACTAATTTAAAAAACAAAATTGTATAAAAATAATATGTTTACCATATTTCTATTTTGATGTCCTTATCTTCATTAAAAAAATGGACTAGTATGCTTTTTACGAAAAAAATTTTAAAATAAAAATTAAATGATTCGAGGGGGAAAATCAATCAGTAATAAAATTGATCCTCATATTCTCCTCCATATAGGGGGAACAGGGGGTAACTTGACAATTTTCAATGGAACATCCCATTTTTATTGCAGATTCGGATCATTCGACTGAAAATAGGTAGATTTTGTTTAAAACATTTTATCATATTTGTAATAGATGGCGCTGTAATGAAAAAAATCAATTTTGTTCGATTTTTCTTCTTATACGGTTCTGCAATAATTTTTATCTTAATTAATCTGATTTTTTAAGTACCCACGATTTTATAACTAATATTTAAGTTTCCTTTGGTTTAAGTTATATACATTATTTTATTCGGTGATAATTATCAATTGCGCACCATGGTCACTTTTTACCTGCCAGCATTAAAGCCTTTAATTTAAAGGATTATTGTACTATTTTTAATAAAAATACCTCATTTAAGGTAAAAATATATTTTGTCAATTAATTAATTTAATCATAATTGATGTATAAAAAAATGGTATTTAGTTATAAATAATAATTATTATTAAGGTATAAAGAAACTATTTATAAATAGTTTAGTATTATTTAATCAATTTAGTTCGAAGATTAATTTGCAAACAGCAGTTATTCATAATGGATTTTTTAACAGTGGAAGAAAAAATAGAAATGGTTTTGATTTATGGAGAAGCAGGCAGGAATCTTGATGATGCTGTTAATATCTACGCTCAGCGTTTTCCGGAAAAAAATCGATTACGTACTTCGTTTCACCGTACAGTCAAGCAGTTTACTACAAACGGGACTGTTCAACCGAAGAAAAGAGTTCGTCGAGCATCTATTACAAATATGAAAAAATGTTCCAATGAAAATTTTACACAATTTTTAACGATAAAATGAAAATTTGATGGCATTGCGTCACAATCAATTAAGCACATTAAAAGGTTTCTTACTTCAGGTTCAGTACAATATCTGATTGAAGCTGCAGCCATGTTTGGATCTCTATTTAACAAGTACGAAGCTTGCGGCGATGAAGAATTCTCGATACTGTATTCATCGTAATTGTTTGGAATGATATAATTCGCACTGTAATCCATATTTCCGTTGACACTTTCCAAATTCACGTAAACATTTGTTGGTAATTCATTGATGGTTTCAGAATTGCCAACCAAAGTCACCACGGTGTTTCCAGCGAACCTTTCTGAATTGTAACTGTCTAAGTCTTGCATGACGTGTTCCTCGTACTTAATATTCTCTGCTGCGACCTGATCTTCGTTACTTTCTGGAGGTTCTTGTGGCGAAGAGTTGGAAGATTTCACCACTTCCTCATTGACGATCTCTATGTTACTTTCTATGGTTCCGTCGGCTGTTAGCTGCCTCGTAATCACTGACACATTGGCGACACTTTCTTCAACTTTTGGTTTCACTTCGTCGGGACTTTCAGGGTTTTCAGCCGGCGACTGTTGCTGCTCTTCCATTGTGCTTTTAAAAATGATTCTGTCAGAAAAGTAAAACAAATATGTTAAGGTTTGTTTGAAGAATTAGTGCTCGAGCAGTGTCGGCTCTAGACAAGTGTGCACAAGTGCCAAAAACTGTTTTCGTGGCTTATCTTATCTTTGTAGTATAAGATCAATTATTATCGGTTTTATGCCGAATTTAATAATTATCCTTAAAATATTATTCGTTAATTTATTAAAAATAATTATCATATGGTCTACGAGCCGACTATGCCACATAAAAGCAAACAACTGTGAGGATTTCTTTACACAATGGTTCAGATAAATATTGATGTCAACTTTAAAACATATCCTGTAGAATATTCATTTGGAACACATTTATTTTTCAGTGTAGGTGCGAACAGAATAGACATCGGAAGTTATGTCTCATATTTGAACAAAATTTCCGTTTTCCGCCACGCGAACTCGTTCATTTTTTATGTTTACCAAGAAATTGTGTACCCAACAATGATCTACTAAAATTATGAAAAATACATGTTTTACGTATAAAGCAATGTAAATAGGTTTTCGGTGACGCAAGATGATTTAGGTACATCCTTAACCATAAATTTATTAGGAGAATTCTACATACTATGTACAAGTTTAAAAAAAATGTCCGAATTTATCTATTTTTAAGTATGATTCAATGATAAGATTTTAATTTTAATAATTATAAAAATCCCCGAGCTGATCTATTATTAAGTCCCCCAAGTGAAAATGATTATTTTTTATTTTTGGTTGCTTCACTGTTAGTTTAGAATGAAACATAACATAAGTGGTTCTGCACTAAAGCAAGAATTTTATCAAATCATACATTTTGAGTATTAGAGCTTCACGGAGGTTAGGAGTTCGTATGTTTTTTTAAAAACATCCCTTTGTATATTTTAAATAAGTTATTGTATATTTTGACACCTTAATATTTATTAAAAATACAATTTTACATGCATAAAATATTTATAAAAAAATCTACTTACTGAGATATTACACTTCACGGTGAATAGCTTTTTAAATAGCAAATTAATGAACATAAACTTTTAAATTATAAAACAGCATATGGATATAAGTTCTAACTGACCTTCTAAGTCATCTATAATGCCGTAAACAGAGGTTTTTGCTTATTAAAAATGATTAAAGCGCCATCCGTTGCATATAATTTAAAGCAAAAACAAATTCACGGAGGATAGAATCAATTTTTGTAACACCTACATAAATGGTTATAAAAATTATTTCTTTTAATTTTTAATAATATTTTATATTTAATTTGATTGCTTTGGATGTGTTTAATTTACTTAGTGAATGATTTTTAGTATGCTTTTACTACTTCAGATATTTGAAAACATATAGGTTAACCTAGAAAGAGTAACAGTCACGGATGATAGGTTTTAGACTTTTAAAACATTGTAAAAAATAATTAATTGCGGTTAAAAATCTGTAACCTGAGCTGTAATATCTACTTAATTATGAAAGATCAAAACCCAATAAAAATGTAGGTGAAACTCATTTAGTTTTATAATAATTATTAATATAAATTATAATAGTTATTAAATTACGTATTTAGGGGGTCAATTTTTTAATTTTTCTATGCCTGTAGTAAAAAAAATTGTGTTATAGTTAAAGTTGAATAGGGTGTATTTTATATTTTGTCATTTTAATATTTAACCCCAAAAAATGTAAAATAAAATCGAAAATCAACGAAGCCTAATGCGCCAAAAGTTTAATGATAGCTTCGAATAAACCCACAAAAAATCGCATTTAATTTAAAAATGTTTAAACCTTCAAAACTACGTTACTGGCTGAGCTGGAACAGGTCGTCCGTCGTATTTTATAATAATTGTAAAGATCAACTCTTCACATCAAAAAAAATATATAGTTAACAAACCAGGTAGCGACTATATAGAATATGTAACACCTGAAAATGGGACCGCTAAGACAATAGCTTCAACCATTTAAAGTTTTTTCGTAAAAACTGCATCTTAGAAACAACATGCCAAAGTTTAATACAAAATAAGATTACAAAGTAATAAATTTAAAAAAAATATTTTTTATCTCGTTTTTTTTACTTTAATGCCGAGGTGCATACCTATTAAATTTTATCCGAAATCACATTTAATAATACTAATAATTAATATTGATGATTAAATCAAATGCTATTTGATGATCAAATCAAATGTCATTTGTTGCGACGGTTATTATATACGGTTATTATATATTTTATTTAGTTGCTGCTGAGGAGCAGTAGACACATCTTAAAATGTATAATGGGTTGCATACAATACTCGTATTAAATCGGTAGTAAAAATACGACTTTACTGCCTTGATACATAACTATTATTGTACAATTATGACTTTTTTTGGTGTTTAATACTACGAAATTGATAAATTGCATCAATATTATAAAGACAGATACTACAATAGCATCCGAAAGTAAATTTAAAAGATAAGAAGTTGGTGAGATGGTTCATTATCAAGGAGATGGTAAACCAAATATTATGTAAAGGCAAATAACCAAAACCGATACAGATTAAATAATATTTTAAATAAATGTTTTATTTTGGTTTTAGAGTTATATTTTCTTAAGATTACTAAACTATTATTAGTGTTAAAAAAAAAATATTTTTATTTATAAATTTTTTGAAAAAATATTAAATATAATTTAACTATTTTTTTTTATTTTTTATAAATGTATAGGTACATTAAATCTACTTGTGTAAATTGTATTAATGAATATAAACTTTTAAAAGATAAAACAGATGATTTAAGATTAAAAAACAAATAAGGAAGAAAAATAATTTTACAGATTCGACACGTGTAACCTAAGTGGCAAATATATCCTTAATTTTCATTTTTCATCACAAGGGAGTGACATACTTTCAAAATAATGTTGCCTGTAGGGCTTGAGTGAGGTTTGAGAAAAGATCTGAAGAATTATTTTCAATGTATTGATCTCCCTTGTGGTTTTCGTTGCCCCAACAATGCCCCCACAATAAAGACAAATTTGTCTTAATTGTTTATTTCAAAGAAATACTTCAAATTATTTATATCAAGAAAATACTTCAAACTATTGTCGGCAATAACGTAAGCATAACATTCCCATTATAATAATATTTTGATTGGCTTAAACGTACATGACTTAAATTGTGAGTTTCTATTGGTTTTAGAAACGTCAAAAAAAAATCGTTTGAGCAAATTAATAATAACGCAAAGAACATAAAATAAAACAAAATAGAAACATTTAATAATAGGGTAAAGTAGACAGTTATCGGACACTTATAGTTATTGGACGATTAACATTAATACTGTAAAAACAAGAGTTCTATATATAGTTCGGTAATAATATAGAACTACTTTATTTTGGGTCCAATATAGGACAAAAAAGTTCGCACGTTACTTTGGTGGTAATATTTTTTTGTGTTAAGAGCAGGGCTGTGTTTAAATTACAATAAAAAATATTTCTAAAAAGTGTGTGGTATAAATGTGTTCCTCATGGTTTAAACATTGTCACTTTAATGGGTTTTAATTTTAATTCTGAAAACAAATAGTAAAGTGTCCAATTACTGGTTGGTAAAAAATGTAATTTTCTATTATTGGACATATGTCCAATATGATACTCTATTTAATTCCCGGAGCCAACTCTTATGTAAAATTGTCCACTGAATCCGAAAAGACCGTCAAAACTATAAAAGTTAAAGATATAGTCAATTCCATATTATATGTAAAATTGATTATATTTCAAAAACTGTCCTACTTTTATAGGATATGACAAATTGCTTTTGACGAGAATTATTAGCGGCTGCTTTTTCGCTATGACATATTTGACTAATTCATTTATAGAGAGTAAGTAATATAGTGATTTCTTTGTCACAGGACATCTTGCAGAATAACAGTGATTTAAATACAGTGCATGATAGAGACCATAAAAAACTAATGACAACAAAATTAATAAATTCGGAAAATACTTTTAACATACAACCCGAAAAAATATTAGATATATATAAATCATCCTGTTTCGGCCTAAACATTATAAATGCTTCACAAACTAGAGATACCACACTTAATGATATTTGCAACAAACTATTTCAGAAGTCATACAAAGGAATTAGTAGTTACCTTTAGAATCCAGAAAAGGGATGAAGAATCCGAGAAAGAAATATATGAATTATATGTTATAGTTAGAAAAACGAAATATAAAAATTACCTAAAACAGCAATTTATTTTTAAAAAATATTTTTTAAAAATATTAATTTGATGTAAGGTTGTTATGTTTATATAAAAATTGTATGTCCAATAACTATTGTCCATGTGTCCAATTACTATATAAAATGTCCAATTACTATACTTTTTTGCATGTTTTTAAAAAACTATTAGGTATTAAAAATTCAAATATTCTTATTTTTAAGTAAACGTAAATAAAGTTTAAACAAACATTTTATTTTTATATATTTATAAGAAAAAAAACTAAAATCTTTAAAACAAAGGCATTTTAAATGTTAAATAAATAATATACCTTGAGTGTCCAATAACTATGTGGTTTACCTATAAGTTGCAGAAGGACACGAGAACTAAATAACTGGAAAACTAAATGAGTTTGACCTAAACTTTTATTGTGTTTTGATCTTTCATAATTAAGTAGATATTACAGCTCAGGTTCCAGATTTTTAACCGCAATTAATTATTTTTTACAATGTTTTAAAAGTATAAAACCTATCCTCCGTGACTGTTACTCTTTCTAGGTTAACCTATATGTTTTCAGATATCTGATGTAGTAAAAGCATACTAAAAATATCAGTTCACTAAGGGCCGGTTTATCAATCTCTAGTTAAGTTTCAGTTAGTCTATCTGACAGTTAAATTTCATATCGATCGTTCTGAGAACAATGGTATCCATGGAAATTATATAACAGATAACTAACTGCAACTTTAACTGGACATTGATAAACCGGCCCTAAGTAAATTAAACACATCCAAAGCAATCGAATCAAATATAAAATATTATAAAAATTAAAAGAAATAATTTTTATAAACATTGATTGAAAAATTAATTCTATCCTCCGTGAATCTGTTTTTGCTTTAAATTTTATGCAACGTTTGGCACTTTATTCATTTTAAATAATCAAAAACTTCTGTTTACGACATTATAGATGCATGTGATTCCTGAAGGTCGGTTAGAATTTATATGCAGATGAGAGTGTTGCTGTTTTATAATTCAAAAGTTTAAAATCATTAATTTGCTATTTAAAAACCTATCCAACGTGAAGTGTAATATCTCAGTAAGTAGATTTTTTTTATAAATATTTTATTTATGTACAA